CCTACTTAATAAAACAAACTCTTTTACTTCCACACTTAATTGTCCTTTATCAGTCCTACAAATAATTCCTTTTACCCCGATAATACTGCCATTATCTAATTTTGCTAAATCCCCATTTTTGCTGCTAAATTTTAATTGAATGGTTCCGGTTTGGTCGGTTAAATCAGCAAAAAACATTCTTTTTCCGGTCATTCTTCCCGCAATACTTACTTCTTGGTTTTTTTTAATTAACTCTTCTTTGCTAAATTGAGAAAATAATCTATTAATTGTTTGCGAGTCGCTGGTTTTCGTAAATCTGGTGAATTGAAAAGGATTTTGTGGCAAGTTGGCGGGTTTTTTTTTTCTTGATTCTTCTGGAGATAATTCCATATTAAACTATTTTTCTTATCTTTGTCTAATTTATGATTACTTTTTTCTTAAAATATCCCCACCTTTTCTTTTGCCTGCTCAAATTAGGAGTAAAAAGAAAGCCAAAATTATGACTGGCAAACAAATAAGAGCAATTTTTCCTCAATCAGTTTTATTTTCTGTCCTGACCGGACTATTTTTTTGTTTTTTAGTTGGCCTTACTGGGTTTTTGCCTGCTTCATAAAAATAATTTTCATTGTCCCAAAAACCGATTTTTTTCACCGTATTTTCAAAATAATCTTTGTCCTTTAAAAACCATGGCATTACGACCATCAATGTCTTTAACAATGAATTTAGCTGTTCCTTGCTCTCCTAAATTCATAATAAAACGATATTGCCCTGCTTCAAAATTAATATTTGTTCTTTTAGTTAAATTACTGGAAATTCACAGTCAACAATCTGCCTCTTTTTTGTATAGGTATTCATCCGGTATAATCTCATGATTGATTACCTGAAATTTATGATATTCTTGTGGTTTTTTATCCTTAAAAAATTTTCTTTTATGTGTAAGGGCATAAAAACAGTGGAGTTCAAATTCAGACATAAATTAAAAATGGCGCCTAGTGCAGGAATCGAACCTACGACCTGCCGGTTAACAGCCGGACGCTCTACCGCTGAGCTAACTAGGCTTTTGAAATTATTGATTGATTTATTTCAATTTAGTGTTAGAAAATCAGTTTGGATAATATTTTCTGCTTCGGTGGCTTGGGATTCAATATCAAAGGCTAATATTTTTTTACCTCTTCGGCAAAAATACTGGTGAGTTTTTTGGCAATTAACGGATTGGTATAAAATTGGTCGAAATTATTTTTTTTGTTTATCGTTGTCATAGTATTTTACACCAAAGCAAAAATTACTCGCAAATTATTATCACCCAACCGATAATTTAATTTGGTAATTCGGCTATAACCGCCTGCCCGTTCTTTATATCTTTCTTTTAAATCAGAAAACAATTTATCAAGTAATTTTTTTCCTTGCTGGTCAGTGTTTTTTTTTTTGTTGACTAAATATTTTAGAGCCAAACGGCGAGCATGCAAATCATTCTGTTTAGCGTATCCGATAAGTTTAGCCAATAATTTGGTTAGACTGCGAGCCATCGGCAGACTCGTTTCCACTTTTTCGTATAAAATGGCGTCTGCTACTAAATTATTAAGGACATGATTGCGTCAAGCAGTAGTTTTACCAGGTTTATTGATATAGGACATGATTATTAATTAATTTTTTTAGAAAAACAAATCTCAAAAGATAATTTCATTTTATATTTTTGCCTCGGCCGTCGGCTCCAGAATTAATTTTTCTCCCTTTTTACTATTGTCATTAAGCAGTTGAGAAATGCTACCAAAAGCATCTTGGGATATCGCCAAAACTTCTTGAAGTGCTTCTTTCGGTTCAGCCACACCATTAGTAGTAATCATAAGTGTTAATTCTTCTTCGGTTTTTCCTCTGCTAATTACTACCGATTTTATTTGAAAACTTACTCCATCACCTTTGACTGGGGCATAATCGGTAGCAAAAGCAATAACATTTTCTACATCCGCCAAATAATTTTTTTCTTGTTCTTCTTCCTCCCAATAACCCCAATTTTTCTGAAAATATAATTTTATTTCTAATTTAGGTTTTTTTTCCTCGCTGGTTGCTGCTGCCAGAGTAGCCAAATGAAGATTAGGATTTTTAATTTTGACTTCCTTATCCTTTTGAAAATCACCAGCCGTAATTTTTTTTTCCGTTTTTTCTTTGTTTTCAACACTCAATTCTAGACAAAAAATTCCCTCCTTCTTTTTTTTGGCTTCTGCTCTAACCTCTTTCAATTTCATAACGAGAAAAGGCGTTGCTACCGGATCTACCACTCCCGACAAAGCACTAATTTCGCTTTCCACTACTCCATTTTTATCGCTAATTTGGACACCTAAAGGGGCTATTCCGCTAGTATATTTCAGAAGAAATTGACGAAAATAATTGCCAAGAACCACCCCCATGCCGGCTGGCAAGTGGCGAAAGACAAAAGAGGAAGTATGAGGTTTATTTTTGTGAGTTATTTCTTCGACTTTTAATTTATTGAGTAATGCGGTCATATATAATTTATTATTTTAGCCGTTCAAAATGTAGCCCTGTTTATTCATTATGATATTTGTTAGAAAAAAATTAAAAAACTGATATTTTTCTGGTTTCTCGGTCCTTGCGACCTTTTTCCTTCTGCTGGGCTAATAATTTACTAAATTCTTCTTCCGGAAACTTATGACCCTTTTTTTCCAAATAAAAGCGAATTAGTTCCTCTGAAATGCCCTTGGTATCATACCAAAAAAAAATATCTTGTGCCGCGATTGTGGGTGTATAATTTTTGCTTAATTCTCGGTTCGACTTATCAATAAATTCCCTGGTTTTATTGATTTCTTTTTTCAACTCATTAATTATCAAACCTTCCTTTTTTTTTAAATGCTGGTAGTAAGAAGAATTAACTACAATCATTTTTTTGCTTACTTCTATTAATTGATCGGTGCTTAAACCAAGCAAATAGGCTAACAAAGTAGCCTTTTTGACCAATTTTTTGAGAATGTAACCACGTCCTTTGGGCCCGAATGTGGCACCATCAGCCAGAGCAAAAATAGTAGTTCTCAGGTGGTCGGCGATAATATAATAGTTTCCTTTTTGGTGGTTAGCGTTATTCATTAGTTTATCTTATTTTTTTAATTTCTTTTTCCTCACTAACATTATTACTCCAATCAATATTATTAGCAAAAATATTATGACCGGAAAGATTCAGACCGGAAATTTGTCTTTATCCTGGGTTGGCCGGTTGCTATTTTGAGAGGTTTGTTTATTACTTTCCAAACTTTCAATAACATTGTCTACTCGTCCATTTTCATTAAGCGTTTTGTAGGCAGTGGATTGTTGGTTTTTTTCACCTAGTAATTCATCGAAAATTGACTGATTAAATTCTCCTTTTTCACTTAAAATCTCCGCAGCAATCAGGGTTTTGAGTAATTTTAAAGTTGCCTGTTTTTCATCCTCAGTAAGTTGTGGATTATTCTCTATTTGTTGCTTGGCAGAGCCATTATTAAATCTATTTTCAACCTCATCCCCGGAGGGTGGAGGAGCATCATTTTTGTTTTTGTCAGGTGTGGGTGTGGTTGGATCATTTCCATTGTCAGGAATATCACCCGATCCGTCCGGAGTGCCAGGAGAGCCAGGATTACCAGAACCGGAGCCGCCTCCTCCTTGTTTAGCCTGTCGTTTATTTTTAATGTCGGCTAATATTCGGTCTTTAATCGCCGTAATAGTAGGCAAATCATTCGCATTTTGAATATCGTGGCGTCAATTCTGATTGGTAGTTTCTAATTCATTATTATTGATAGTGGGATTTTGGTTGAGGGCATTGTCAATGTCCGAAATGGCACCATTTTTTTCAGTTAACAAGGGGTCAGTAGTTTGGGGAACCAATTTACCCTCTACAATAAGGTTGGGGAAACGTTTTTCTAAATCTATTTCTAATTCTCCCCAAGTAGAAATAGCCGGTCATTCTTCTATTTGTTTGATAGTAAATTGTTTTTCATTTTT